CCCCCCCCCCCATGGATACCAAAATCTGTGCATGCTCAAGTGCCATTAAATACAAGGGCATAGTAAAATGGTGTCCAAGGTCTGCTTTTGGGAATTTAGATTTTTAAAAATATTTTTAAGCTGTGGATGGCTAAAGTCAGGGATAAAGAATCTATGGATGCAGTGTGCTAACTGTATCTAGTAAGAGATCCCATTTGGAAATATCAGCATATTCAGCAAACCTATAAAATTTGTTGTTGTTATTGTTGTTGTGTACCCCCAAGTCATTTTTTTTTTTTTTTACTTAAGGAGACCCTAATATCACAGGGTTTTCTTGGAAAGTTTCTTCAGCGGAGGTCAGTCATTGCCATCCTCTGAAGCTGAGAGAGTGCGACTTGCCCAAAGTCTCCCTGCCAGTGAGGTTTTATGCTCAAGCGGGGATTTGAACCCTGGCCTCCAGAGTTGTAGTCCAACACTTAAACCACTACACAATGCTGGAAGCCATAGTAAATCTGAACAGTCTGCAGAACACCCATCAATTGTGTTATGAGGGCATAAAAGAGGTCAAAACAAGTCACTGCAGCAAATTAATCTGATTTTACAAAAGGAACTAACACTTTGCAAAAGTTTTAAGAAATGTGTTCAGCTTGTACCTTCTGGCCATGGTAAGCCTAAGGTACATGTTTTAGTGTACTAGATTGGATCCAGAAGAGCAGTGTGATCTATTCAACATGATCTGTGAGGTAAGTGTGAAAATGACCACGCTTTTGTTAAATTTAGAACCATTGGAATCCTATTGAATTCAAGCCACAGTAGATAAGGTTGAACCTCTTGATAAAATTTTTTTACCAATGGGATCAAATTTGGGGAAGAGCAAGGAGGGACAGTAAACATGAAGTCATCACAAGGTTATCGCCTTGCCTTGAATAGGCTTCTTGCTTTCCTATAGCCAGAATGTAGCCAGTGTATTCTTGATCTCATCAATGCAAGAATATAGATGGATGGTGATGAGGATGAGGATGATGTCTGCATTACCACCCAATAACTATCTGTGGGCCATAGTGAAGCTGGATATTACTGTGTTTGTTGCCTTACAATTGTCTCTTACTTTACAGTTTGAACACTGAACTAATCAACTCTACCCCTTGTGACCTTAATAGAGACAAAGGCTCTTAATCTCATCATATGTGTTAACCAGTTCACCTTTAACAAGAATTCTGTGTTAAAACTCAATTACTGTTTTTATTAATGGGAACAAACAAGATTTGTACTTTTTTGCATTTCTGTTCCTCAGCCCACTGATTACCTTACCCATCATCCACTCACTCACCCAGTCTTGCATGTGTATAAAATAATCTGCACATGAAGGCAACACTCCACGCATCTTATGAAATGGGCTGCAATCCATGAAAGTTTATATCAAATAATGCAGAATTTGTTATTTGCCTTAAGTGAACTTGGACTTATGAATGAAAAACCTCCAAGAACCATGCCTTGCTCAGCATCAATTGCCTTGCTCAAGTCTTGCAAAGTTAGAGTAGTGGCTTCCTTGACTGAGTCCTTCCGTCTTCAGTACAGTCTTCCTAGATTATTGCACACGCCTTAGCCCATCTTTTTCTTGATGGGATAGATGTGCATTTAACTGTCAAAGACAGGTCTTATTACATTCTCCCAGGGCCAGATGTATGCAGCCCATATGCAACCCGGGTTTATCTCATCCTTGAAAAGCCGTGGAATAAGCCCAGGTTACATATGGGCTGCATATGGCCTGCATACACCTGGCTCCGGGAGAATGCAATAAGACCTGTCTTTGACAGTTAAATGCGCATCTATCCCATCAGGAAAAGATGGGATAAGATTGATATGATAATCTCTTTCCTCTTTTCCTACTGCCTTTCATTTTATCAAGCATCATTGCCTATTCCAGTGAGTCATGTCATCTCATGATATGTCCCAAGGTTAGTCAGGCGTGATTTCTTCTAAGATTTATTCACTTGTCTTTTTAGCATACAGTATCCATACAACTCTCCTCCAGAACCACAATTCAAAAGAGTTTATCTCTTTTGTGTTTAAAATTGCAAAAGCTGGATAGCTTTTTCACTGTCCAGCTTTTCCAACCATAAAGAGAAATCAGAATACTATGGCATGCATGATTTTGACTTTAATATTTAATAATATGTTGTTACCTTTGACGATCTTATCTAGTTCCTTCATGGCTGCCCTTCTAAGGCTTAGTCTTGTTTTGATTTCTTGTTAGTCTTTAAGGTGCTGCAATATTTGTTGTTTTGGATCTGACAGACTAACATTGCTGGAAATTTTTACATACAGAAAGGTTGCTGCCACACTGAAAAATTAATGTAATTGGACACTATTGTAATATTCATGGCTCTGTCCAGTGGAATCCTGGGATTTGTAGTTTGTTGTGACACCAGAGCTCTCTGACAGAGAAGGTTAAATATCTTACAAAACTACAAATCCCAAAATTCCATAGCACTGACCCATGGCAGTTAAAGCAGTGTCAAACTGCATTAATTCTGCAGTGTAGATGTAGCCTTTGCTGCAGCAATATAACTTTAGCTAGCCACCAGAAGGCATTAAGTATGAATGCACCTGGCCAAAGAGGCAAATCTCTCCAGAGGATAGCAATGGCAAACCTTCTCTGAAGAGACATGCCAAGAAAATCCCATGTTCACCTTAAATTAGGGTCCCCTTAGGGTTGCCATACATTGGAAATAACTTGAAGGCATACAACAACCACAAAAACAACAACATAAGGAGACAAACAAATTTTACCCATTATTTCCAAGAAGGTTACATTGTAGTCAAAAATTTATATGGATCAAATTTTATCTTGAATCTTGTTATTCAAATAGTGTAAGCAAAATACTATTTTAAAAAATCACACAAAACTTGCTTGTCTGTCTTCTGAGATTCTAATTAAATAAATAAACTTTACCATATAGAGCAGGGGTCCTCAAACTTTTTGAGTTGGGGGCCGGTTCGCCGTCCCTCAGATCATTGGAGGGCTGAAGTAAAAAAAAAGGGGGGAAAAAAGGACAAATTCCTATGTACACTGTGCATATCATATTTTGAAGTAAAAAAACAAAATGGGAACAAATACAATATTTAAAATGAAGAACAAGTAAAGTTAAATCAACAAACTTACCGGTATTTCAATGGGAACTATGGGCCTGCTTCTGGCTAATGAGATGGTCAATGAATCCCTGCCCAACCAGGGAAACCCACTGCCTGACCTTGAGCAAGTCACACCCTCTCAGCCTCAGAAGATGGCAAAGGCAAATCCCTTCTGAACACATCTTGGGGAAACATTCGCACAGCTCAGAGATCACAACAGTGTGAACCGGGGCTTACACAGCAGACAACATAGATACAACATCATATGCTAGCGTGAATCCCTGCTCAACCAGGGAAACCCACTGGCTGACCTTGAGCAAGTCACACCCTCTCAGCCTCAGAGGATAACCATGGCAACTCTCCTCTGAAGAAACTTGCCATGAAAACCCCCATGATAGGGGTTGCCATATGTTAGAAATGACTCCAAGGCACTGGATTACTCTGGGCAGGTCACACTCTCTCAGCCCCAGATGGTAATGGAAACCCTCCTCTGGAGAAACTTGCCAAGCAAACCCCCATGATAGGGTCAAAATAAACCGGAAATGACTCAAAGGCACTGGATTACCTGGTCAGGCCACACTCAATCAGCCTCAGATGGCAAAAAAAAAAAAAAAACCAGGTGTGCCCGGCAGCAGCGGCAGCGCAGCAGCAACAGTGACAGGAGTGACCTACAAACCGTCTGCCTCCTCAGCGCCCTGGTTCCCCTCAGCGAGGGACAGAGAGGGCCGCTTCCCCTTCCCCTTCTCCCGCTGCTCACCTCGGCCAAGGCTGGGTCAGGCACCTGCCTTCTTTCCTTTCTTCCTGCTTCCTTCTCTTCCTTCTTTCCTTCCTTCCTTCTTCCCTCAGCCGCCACTTTGCCTCCCTCCTTCTAAGATGGTGGTTCCCAAACAAAATGGCGACCAGAGTCGCGCACTCGCTCGCGTTGCGGCCTTTCTATTCCCGTCCTGCCCTGCGACTGGGGGTGGGGCTTGGCAGGCGACAAGCAACAGTGCAGCAGGACCGGGCCACAGACTGGATAAAAGGCCTCGGTGGGCCGCATTTGGCCCACAAGCTGTAGTTTGAGGATCCCTGATATAGACCATATCACACACCCTGCATGTCTGTTTTATTTTTGTCGGCAATTCAATAACATTGTGCATGTTATTTATTTATTTATTTATTTATATCCTGCCTTTTCCCCAGATTGGGACTCAAAGCCACTTACAACAAGTACAAAGCATTATTACGTTAAACTGATTATGCCAGAATAAGCACTTTTAAGGCTATTGCAAAAGAAGGTATCCTGTTCCTCCTTGCACAGCACCCTTATGTTCAGATGTGCAAAGATTCCTGGGCTTGAACTTTATCCCCACCAGTCATAGCTTGGTTGCAGGAGTGTGCCTAGGGGCTAATCTACACATAGGTGTATTAGCAATAGCAATAGCAAGTACATTTCTATACCACTTATCAGTGGGCTAAGCATCCCTAATCAGTATACATTGTGTAAGCTAATTGCCCCCAACAAGATGGGTACTCATTTTAGCAACCTCCGGAAGGATGCAAGGCTGAATGGACTGAATGGACCTTGTGGCTTGCAGTACAGGCATTTAACCACTGCATCACTAGGACTCCCTTGTTTAGGTGAATTGCTGTGGGTTTTCACACATTCGCATCACTGGGGTTATACAGATGGCCCCTAAGGGGCAGCAGGACGTTGCCCCTTTCCTTGACAGATCAGGGCACGGCAACCACACGCCGCAGCCCCAGCCTGGGTTTTCCATGGCACAAAAAGAAGCCGCAAAAAGCAGCTCCTTTTTGCACCATGGAAAAAGTGCATTACTTGCAGCGGCAGCAGCTTTTCGCTTCTTCAGTGCAGCACATGTAAATGTTGCACCGAAGACACGTCTTTTTGCCACCCACCATGCAGTTGCTTCAGCAGCATGATGGTGGCAGCATGGCAGAATTGGGGCAGCCGGCATGCAGTTGCCCTGCCTCTCAATTCCACCCCTTTCGGCCAGTCTGTACAGGCCCAATGTTTGTCTTCCCTTTCTTGTGCAAATTTGCATCTATTTGCCCTTCCTCTGCCAAAAATGCACAGCCATTCAAATCCATGTAAAGCAGACAGGCAGCCACACTTTCGAAAATGCTCATAGATACTCCCAGATACTCCACTGAAAATCACCAAGTCTTTTTCTACTGAATTTGTGGAATTGTGCGCATATGCCCTGAAAAATGCCTGAACTGCTCCAAATTGCATGTGGCTGGATCACATTCTATTTGAATACTAGAGGAATATTTCATTTTATTTTATTAACCTGCCTGCACTTCTTTTATTTTTTTAAAAAAATAATAATATGTTTATTCAAAAATTAAACACAAAC